AAAATGATTGTTTGATGTGGAGGTCGATATCAGTAAATATGATAGCAGTATCGGAACAATCTATACAATTTTCTGTATTATGTAATTGTATGTATACCTAAATTAGGCCAATGTGTTACTGCTCGTTGCTAGTTACGTGACCATTTTTGACGAATAGCAATATATATAATATATATAAATAGCAATATTAATGTTTCAATTATTTCAAGAGTGATCAAATGTTTTGATTTTTCAGGGTTTGTCCTTATTTTTGATTCGATATCCCAATGTCACTTAGATGTATTTATTTTTGGACCTAACGTCAAATATTCACAATTTCTAGCCTTCATTTACTATTTGCAACTGTTGCAGTTTTCTAACTTGATATTGTAAATACGTCTTTCTTTTTCTTTTTTCTTCTTTTTCTTTAATTTTAAAATTCTGTGTCCCTCTCGATTTTCAGTTATATCAATTTGGTCACTCTAATCAAGGGATACTAATCTCTTCATAATCATCTTCTCTTGAAATATAAAATTCTTCTTACTGTCAATTAATGGATCTTTGAAATATTAACCCTGTTGCGGACCTCGAATTTTTAAATTTCAATGTTATATTCAGCTTTGCAAATGAAAAGGATTTACGATATTTTAAGAAGAAGTTTAAGATAAAACTTAATCGAGGAATCATGTATATTGGTAAGAATTTTTTTGTATTTCATTTAAACTTGAGATGTTTTTTAATTTTAGAGAAATTTTAGAGAAAGTGAATCAAAAATGATCGCAGCAGGGTTAAACTAAGAATATTATAAAGTTATATAAAATAGTGTAGTCTATAAGTAATAAATAAGTTTTGTGAGATTTGATAAAAAATAAGTAAATAAGTCAGTAAACTTAAAAATGAAGCTATTTTTGACACTTACAGCCTTATTATTTCCACTTTTTAATTATTGTTATAACTTTCATTATAATTCCTATTAGGAAATAATTGTTACATAATTCGTTTTATGTAATATATTCTTATATTTTTTATTTTAAATATTTCAAACATTTTTAAACATTTTAAAAAATTATTGGATAATTAGTGAAACGTTACATTGTAAATTTCACTAAATCGTCAAACAACTTAAATTACAAAAGAACGTCAGAATATATCTTCATCGAGTCATAATTACATATTACACTGCGGATATTTATGTGTTTATTTTTTTTTTTAATATTAAAACGCGCAGAATGTACTAATAATATACAATAATGCAATACAAAAATATAAAAAATATTCAAAGATAGTAAAATATCCAAGAAATACCTGCTCAGGTTCTGTCTTTTTAATTCTACTCTTAAAGCATGAGTTCAATCTAACAAGGAGGAAATAATTTAAAATATGAATTAAACATCTAAAGTTCTATTTCTTTGAGTCTATTCGTAAAATGCATCTGTATGAAAATGAAAAATTTAACGAAATAAAATACGAACGGAACATCCAGTTTCAATGAAAGAAATATCTGCTGAAGTTCTATTTCTTCTCTTCGTGGATTCCATTTATTCGTATAAATATGAAATAATAAGTAATGATAATAAAATAAGAATCGAACATCTAGAACGAGCAAACGTTGAATTCCATCATTCGTAAAAGTAGAAATTCCCGTGAATACTATACGCATGCTTTCAATGGGAAATACAACGTAAGGAAATTGATATCACTTACAACTTCTGCGTCCATAATCCTGCCAACTGGAAATGGATCCTCGACTCATGTGAACTTGAGCTTCCGGTGCTGATACGATTTGAAAACGCGTACGATCGCGCGCGATAGGACGACACGTAAAAAAAAAAAAGAAGAAGAAGAAGAAGAAGAAGAAGAGATCAGTCACGTGGTGACGAGGAGAGGAAGATCCAAGCAGCGAAAAAGATTCTTCTCGAAAATTGGCAAGTTTTTACGTCCACGGTAGCGCACCTATCTCGTTCGCACAGGTGCAACGCAATGCAATTAGTCGTTCTACCTACAATGCAATGACGACGACGATGCTGGCCAACACTCTGAATGCACGTTGTGCCCCCACTTTTTTTCAATCGTTGCCACGGAATCGCTCTATTCTTTCAGCCGTCTGTGTAATCTTTCCTTGCTTTTCTTGTTTCCCATTTAGTCGCGTTATACCGCGTTGCACGGCTACCTCCGAACGCGGCAAAAAGCACGTCTCAAACTGGAAATTGTGACACGCTGACAAAAGAAGTTGAGAAACAGTGGATTAGCAATTTGAATGTCTTTCGGGGTTTTTCGGGACAATGTTTTAGAAAGGTTTTGTTCGTTACAATTGACGAAAGTTGCCCGATATAGCTGGAGAAGTTTCGGAGATTTCAAACTCGCTGTTTTTTAATCTTAGATGCTTGTTAATATATTTTTTAAGATATGATTAAGATTATCTATTTATTATCGAAAGATTATTCATTTGATAGATGTTTTTCGTTCTAATATTAATTGGTGTTTAATATCATTTAGTAGATGTTTTTAGTAAAATTATAGTGATATTTAGTTTTACTGAATTTAGTCAATTTACTTCGACTAATTTATTTTATTTCTTTTGAATTTATTTGTATCATTTCATTTTATTTACTAAATCTATGATAACTTTTGCTACTTTATATTAACTCATTTCAAAAGCAAGTCATAAACAACGATGTCGTCTAAAATCTTGTAAATTTGCTCCTGGCATACGATAGTCTTTGACCTATATTCTTTTTTACATCTTGAAAAATAATGCAAGCTTCCTTCATCGAATGCATTCTACAGCTATATACACGTTTCACAACACTTTAATTTTCTGGATAAAATTTCTTTTAAATTAAATGCTGAACTGAATCTAATTAATGGATTTATATAGACAGACCGTGGACTTCCATGGACGCTTATGGCAAATTTGAAACTGCAAAAATGGACAGAATATGAAAGAATATACGAAATATTTGTGATATTTCGTTTTAAAATATTTAATGAATAAAGTATATTTTTAGATTGAAAATCGAAATTTGCATAAACATACATTATTACATATTATATTATTATATATAATACATTATAAATATATTAAATAAAAAAAACTCGTATAGATTTTTACAACAAAATTGTCCTCTGTTAAATAATGTTTAAAAAAACTAAATATTACTGCGTTATATTATATTTTATCACTGGGTAACTACATCATTTTGGATAGTTATATATATTTATTTTTGCATACGATTATGTATTTTGTAAATTTTTACATTCATAAATTTTCCATGAATGCACGAACATTTTAGTCTAGTTATAAATATAACTATAATAAGTAGAGTAACAAAGTAATATAAAGAATACATTGTCAAATTAATAAACCAAGTGAAATAACTAAACCTACGAGTTACCTTTTCAAATAATTACAACATTTAATTGTCTAATAAAATATAAACAACATTTCATGTAATAAAAATACAAACGGTAATTTCACGTACAGAATGTTATATTTATTCAGTAGAAAAGATAAAATCACGTGATTGAATGATTAGAATGATTGTTACTACTATTAAACTGGATTCGTAAGCCAATCAATATAAGTCATTTTTTTTATTAAAAATCACTTGCACCGTGCAAGTATATTTTTCTTATCAAAATCTTCAGTTCATGGAACAGTTTAGTTATAATATAATAATTAGTATATTATAATGACTAATGTTTACACTTTTAATAACACAAAGATATTTGTTTGGCATAAATTATTTCTAATGAGAGATAGCTGACATTGATTAGCTCCTGAGCTCAAATAATTTTCAAAATTTCTAATGCTTTGGAAGAAGATTAAATCTTCTTTAATTCAAAATTAATTCACACTCAACCCGAGTTATCTATAATCCATCTATGTGTCACATTTCTCTTATAAAATGCGCAAGATGACGACATAAGATTGGACATCCATACCTGAAAGTAGTTTGAACAAAAATTTAAACAATTTTTCGTTAAAACAAAAGAATTTGCAAATTCAGTCTCATTCGTATTTCCGTCGTAGGTATTAATTTCTTGCTACTACATCAATTTAGATTTATAACAAGGAAACAAAATTAAGTTGAGAAAAATAAGAAGCGGATATTGCTCGTTAAGTCGAAAGTTTTAACAAATACGCCTGATGGACACACAGACTTTCCTTATTCATCAACGTAATTTATTTGCAGCGTCGCACATTGCAAACACAAACAACAATCTGCATACAGCATGGCACGCGGGCCAGTTGAACTAGATTGAAGTAATTAGATCGAAATCATAGGACTTGACCGAGTCAAAAGAAACCGACACGGGGGGCCTGGCCCGCAAAAGTCGAAGGGAAGATCAAGTCGTGGACACGATCGACGCGAGTGGCCTGGCTGGCCTACAAACGCTAGCAAGGAAAACCTCCACCACACAAAAACACGGTGCTATCAATTCCAATTGACACCGAATCGGAAACACGCGCGCCGGTGACCACCACGGACCAGAAGGCCTGAATTGCTCGGGCTTTTCAAACATTAAACGAATACACAATGGTTTCTAGTGAGGAGAATCAGTGACAGAGTCACTCAGAGAGGAGGTGGAGGAGCGCTGGAGGATTCACAAAGTAGCTTGTGGCATCTCAATTTCCATTGATGCCTTCGCGATTGGCCATTGACGTCCGTCACCGACGGTTACCGACCGTGATTAGGCCCTTTTGTGACGTCTGTCCGATGGAATTGGATAATGGACGATTCACCGATTACGCGGCTAAGTGGATCTAAGCGCTTTGAATCCGTGCTTCGGACACCAATCCGATGCCACGGGCTATCTCTGTCACGTGGTCGTTCAACGTTTCATCCTCCACGCGCTCCGTTACCATTTCTTCTCTTCCCTTTTCTTTTCTCTTTTTGTCCTTTTTTTTTTCTTCTTCTTCTTCTTCTTCCTCTTCTTCTTCCTTTTCGTTTCGCGTGCACGCACGCAACGTATTTTGTTTTGTTTCGTTTCGTTTCGTTTCGTTTCGTTGTCCAAGTGGTTTCGTGATCCGATACGAGCTGGCTGGTCCCAGTTGGAAAGAACGGGAAAAGCTGGAGGGCAGTTGGCCAACGACTGCGTTCGGACGCGGTCCTTTCGCATTCGCAATAGGGACATACTTGGGCCGGTGGTGTCAAGGTCAAACGACAGCTTCGTATCGAAGCGGTCGTAAGCGACGATACCTCGAAATAGGCGTGTTACATCAGTTAGATCGTTGTCCACCGCATGCAAGTACGGACGTGTTGGATAAGGATCGCCAAGTAAGTTCGCCGCGTGAGGCATCGGTGCCATTGCGAGACGCTAAGTATTGGAACGATATATACTGTGTAGTTCGATTATTATTCGCTATCGATACAAGTGTCTCGAGAAACCCATGCATCCCGTGATATTAATTATACGAACCGATAAAATGGAACACGAGGTCTGCGTGCTCGGACGGTGACGGACGAGGAGTACAAATGAAAAATTGCCGATGTCTTAGAGGCTGTTAGAGAACTGGACTGCGGATTTCTATGCACTTGTGGAGAATTTGCACTGTATTCTGCTGAAAATGCATAAAAATTTTTTATATACATATTTCTTTCATATTCTGCACAGGGTCCATTTTTCAATTTATTTTGAATTAAAAGAGATAAAAGTATGAACATCCGTAGTCCAGTAATCCTTTATGAAAAAAGAAAACAAGTTGTCCTAGTGTTAAACAATCCACTTGGTCTCGTTTAACACTAGAACTAGCAAAATGGTCAAAATTACCAATACATAATCCATCGGAGAAACTTTGTAAACTGACAACTGCCGAATGACCTTTCGTAAAATATATGAACAAAAGTTTCTATCCTTTATTTTATTACAAACTTTTACGAATTTCTTTGAAACAAGTTTTATATTTTAATCTATTCTAGTATTAAAGTATGATATAAAATATAATAGATAGTTTTAAGCGTGAAGCTTCTATTTTGTCAGTTTTGAAAACTGACGTTTTTAACACTAGAATTATCCAAGTGATCAAAATCACCAATTTATAATTTTTGTTAGAAATTTTACAGACGTAAAACACTGTACTTTTGGAGACCTGAATGATTATTCGTAAAGTGTATGAATAAAATCTTACGTTCCCTATTATAAAGATTCGTTATTTTCTTGATTTAATGTCTCTGATGGAAATTTTAGAATTTAGTTCTACTGTTAATACATTCAAGACGGACCTTTCAACCTCACAGTTTGAAGAAAAAAATTTTTCCTTCCTTACAATTTATTCTTTACATGTTATTATATGTTCTTAGTATTGATATATTATTATTAAACTGCGAATTTTGATGTATTTATAAGACACTTTCAACTGTGAAATTTCACATGATACACAACGAAGAGAGATATAGTTTTTTTTTTAACAATATTTAGTGCGCAAAACAATTTTCTATCTTTTCGGCTCTTTGTTATATTCTCAAAATTATTGTAACCTTCGAGGTATAAAATACTATTGTATTTGTCTGAAGAGGTAAAGTTTGTATGGGAAAATAAAATTAGCAATCTTAATTTAATTCACAAACACGAAATATTTCATTGTTTTTAAAATACTGTCGAATTCCTGTCTCGAAATTTTACTTTTTCTATGAAGAATTTAAAAAATTTTAATCTTAATTATCTGCTGAATTTCGATCTATTTGTTAATTAAGATCCTACCGTATTTAAAACTATAACGTGGAAATTTTATCGAAATTTCCTCCCAGCATTCGGTCTAACGTTCTAGCATTACTGAAATATTAATTAATATAATATGAAATATTAGTTAATATTTAATTAAATAATTTCTGAACGAAGTAATCCAGTTTCGTTTGTATAACAGGCTGAAATTCAACTAAATAACTAATTTTAAACTCTGCAGAAGAACCATGAGGTGGATAGCAGCTGTCGCTGGCTTTTTCCTGATCTTCATCTCTCCACAGGATACCGAAGCCCGTGTAAGTAAAATTACTTCAAAGTTATTTAAAATTTAAGAGTCCTAAGGTGAGTAATTCTTTTACATTCATTATGAACATACACTCCAAATCAAAAGTTTGAAACTGCCTTTTTTAAATTTTTTTTTTTTTTTCTTTTGACGAAACAAACTTCTTCGTGCATTCTTCTGAGAAATAATAATTCAACAGATCCTAAAAGAATAAAATAAGACAACCGGATATAATTTTTGAAATTTCGAGAAGAAAATAATTGTTGTTCGTAATTCGTGCAACAGAGTATATAAAATTATTTAAAAAAAAAAATAACCATTGTGAATTCCGTTTCATTTTGGCAAAATATGTACAATTAATATGATAAATTGTAAAGATCGTCAAAGTGTTATAAAAATTCATTGGCAATTCATTTTGCAGATTGAGGTCAAACGCAGTATAGACCTGAACGATGTTTACCTGTCGAAAGTAAATCAACGCAGATTACCAACGGAAGTAGTGCCCAACAGTTATCACGTAGAGCTTCAACCTTTCATCGGAAATGACAAATTCAGCGGTCGAGTCAGAATCCACGTCACTTGGACAGATATCAGTGACACGATCATTTTAAATGCTCATCCGGACCTGGCGATCACCAAGTACAATGTTAAGATCATCCAGGCATCGTTTGAAGAAAGGTAAGTAAATAAAATGATAGGTGAAAACTATATCATTGAATCGTTCGAGAAAATACCTCCATGAATCGAAAGAGTGTTGAAAGTTTTGAACAGAAGAATGCGCTAATAAGACATAATATCTAATAAAATAAACTGAAGACTATGATCAGCTACAGGCTGCCTGGCTGTTGTAGAAGAAGAAAATATTTTCAAAATAGCGTCACTAAAAAATTGGCTCGACGCAGAAGACTAATCTCTATGTTCCACTATAGACATTTTGAAATGTTGATTATAAATATGAGCCAATTGTAAATAATTAATGATGTAAATATTAATTTCAAGAATATTGTCGAGTTTCATCGTCAATAATTAATTACACATTAAGAGAACTAACGACTGAATAAAAACATCTCCATTCAGATCTACTTTATTGATCTACTTG